CACATATGATAGGATTCCATTTAAATAAAATGTCCAGAATAGGCAAATCTATAAGATATAGAAAGCAAAATAGTGGTTACCTGAGGATGAGAGTGAAGGGGGGACTAACTGCATGTGGGCATGAGGGAACTTTTCAAAATGATGAAAATATTCTAAAATGGGATAATTCCATATAAAAATCGTTGAGCACTTAAAATGGGTCAGTGTTAAGGTATGCAGATTATGCCTCAATAAAACTATGAAAAACTTAGTGATGGGAGATTGAGGAAGAATAGAGAGAGAAGCATGATTAGGTAACCTTTGAATCTGATATACCCGAGTGTCCTCAAGTTCAAGAAACACAGTTGTTGCGCCTCCTCTATGTGCCTGGTGCTGGGTACACAACAAAAGACCCCATCTACCAGGTAAGGCAAGCAAACAGGCCATTGCCCTGGTGGGATACAGCGGGGACAAGCACAGAGAAGGGGCACCAGGCTGACGAGAGATGCTTTCCTGCAGGGGTGACATCTAAACTGACACCCTGAAGGACGATTTCAGGGAACCTGGTGAGAAAAAGTGCCAGATCACGGTGGCCTTCTGTGCCATGCTATGGAGTTTGGGCTTTTATCCTGAACTGCAAAGCTAGTAGAAAAACAGAATAGGGAACTGAGCTCCATTACAGAGAAAAATATCTATGTACCACTAAAGATGAAATTGGGAACAGCGAGTCTGGGGTAATCACTATGAGAACCCCCCGTTGTCAGTTTTTGGTTGTGTCATGTTACATGATCGGGAGCAGCAGCAGAAAACAGTACTGCTTGCTTTGGGGTGAAGAGGGGCAGGCTCTGCTGTTGGCTGTGAGGGGAGAGGAGTCCACGGAACAACGAAAGGACATGGGAAGTCAAGCAGATGAATCTAGCTGAATAAAGGTCACAGCCCACTCTTCACCCATGGGCCCTTTGGTTCTGAGCAAGAGGGTGTAGGTTACATGGAAAGGGCAGCTCTTATTTTAGAGACTTTTCTCCCCTATCACAGAGCCCACAGATAGTCTGGCTTCCTCTGCTTCAGCACAAGGGTGCTTGCCTCTATAATCCGATGAGTTCTTCCCTTTCCCTCACTGCCCAGTCTTCTCCAAGGTCCGTCACGGTACTAGACAACCACCCTCCACACAGAGCACGAGGCCGGATGGACTAGCTGCTTGCAAAGGTCAGACGCTGTTCCCTTCCGGCAAGCTGGACTGAGTGGAAATCTGGTCTCAATTCTTGACAACACTACAAGTTAGCTGATGAATCAGGTCAGTTACTCGGCCCTTCTGAAGCTCTTTCCTTATGCTAAAATGAGCCACGCAACCTACCCTGTGGGGATTCCTGAGGGGACCTGGTGAGAATCAATAGTGTTTATGTGTGAAACGTGCTGGTGGGATGTACGTGGGAGAGACCTACCCTTCTAAAGTCTTGAAAAATAAAAGTTGCCGTTCAAGCATAATCCTTACCCACTAGATAGGACTGACTGTAGCTGGCTTTTGGGGAAGTGTGAATGAAGAGTTTCCTGACATCCACAACCACAGTGACCAGGGTGTAATCTCAGGAAGGCAGCTCTGGAATGTGGCTGTATTTGGAGAAGTGGAAATTAAACACAGGAGTCCAGTTCTCTCACACTTTGAGGAGTGGACAAACCACCATGGAAATCTGCCTGTGCCCGTGTACCCGAGCTGCACCCCAGCCGTTGGTCCCACAGGAGGGATCTGTGAATCAGTGTGTGGTTTAAGAATTTGTTAGGGACTTTTATGTACGCTGAAGTTAAGCACCTCTGGCCCAGAGTTTTAAGGAGCCGTCTGGGTTCTCGGCAGTAGACAGGCTAGCCGCACTCTGCCAGGGAACTCTGGAGTTTTACAGCACTGAGCGAAGAAAAGGGGAAATCCAAGAAGAGTGCTGATCTGCACGTCAGCAAATACGCAACATGCTAGCGAAGACTTTTGTGTATTTTTCACCCGAACTCATTCTTATAAAATAAAACATACATGTGTCTCTCCAAAGACTGATTTTGCTATACATCTGGCTCTTCCCTTATTTTCACAGGAATGTTTTTACTTTGTCCAATATATCTTTTCACTGAACTTCAATAAAAACATGATTTACTTCTAATATTTAAAAAATAAAACAAGAAAGGACAAGAAGATATTAGGAGTGTACTTTTTATTTTTCTTTGGTTTCTTAACACAAAAGACATGCATTCTATAAATAAAAGGAAATAAGATTTTCTGGGAAAGGTTAAACTGCCGGGGGGTGGGGGGGCAGGAAGAATTTCTACCTACTTCCATCTCTGTGACCAAAAGGCTGGTCTTCAGCTCCCATCCTGGCTTTGATCTCAGGTGAAACCCAGAAGGCTCTGTGTTATCTGAGGAGGGGAAATGCCCAAGGACGTTGAGTGCCGCAATCCCGTGCTCACAGCTGGGCTGGACCCCAAGGTCCACTGAGCATGACATCTCTCCTACCTCCTAGTTACACGCTTTTCACAACATCCTTGGGTGAGGACTCTTCTTTTCACAGGGCTACTGGAAAGGCTCCAACACCAAAGAGCCAGCCCAGTCATTTGCAAACACCCCCCTCAGACCGAGGAAGCGACGGCTGGAAGAGTGTGAAAATGTTGGTGTTGGCTCACTCGTGCTCACGGCCCACCCAGATCAAAGCACTGGCCCCGGGTGCAGCAGTGTTAACTTCCACACCAGGAGGTGGGAGTGGACTCAGGAAGGCCACTACAAGAGCAGCAGATGGTGGGGAAATCATCTATCAGCCTCAATGGCAACATCCGTGCCAGCATCCTGAGGGCCCGGGAGGCCTCCTCATTAGCCCACTGACTGATCCTTAACCCCTCCACAATCCGGGATGGCCAGGACTGCTTCTAGTTCACAAAAGGGCTTCTGATAATAAGAGGAGCACTGACACACGCCTCTCTAACAGGAAACGCAGACCCAACCGCCTTCCGAGTCTACTTCTGTAGGCAAACCCAGAGGGAGTGAGAGAGAAATGCTGAGGCTCCACCGCGAGCCCAGGTGAAACTACATCAGACTGTTGGGTCATTTGAAATCAAAACATCATTTTCAAGTGCTCGTAGCAGAGGCCCGGCTCCTAAGTGGCAGGTAACAAAGGTACATCCTTCTGGATACGTGGCGATCGCACACACTCGTAAACCTTGTGGTGTGGGGGTGGAAAAGACGTCTCAGGATCCACACTGTGCCTTTCTGAACAGGCTTCCAGGCCACCCTAGTAGGCAGCAAGGGACAGGAGACCAGCCAGGCAGAGAATGGGATCCTAAGACACAGTCTTGCATTAAAGGAACTGTGTCCTCGTTTAGTCTGTGCTGGAAGCAGTTTAGAAAACCAGGTTTTGGCAGCAGCAGCTGAAGCCCAGCCCCACTGCCCAGTGCACTGGTAACAGAAGTGTCCTCCTGCTCAGGCCCTGCTGTGTGACGTCAAGGTCCTGTTCAGGGAGGAGGAGGAAGGAGCATGGAGTCTCTTCAAGAGGTCATTTGCTAAGATCAGAAGAAGAAATATAAAATCTGTTCTTTGCAGCAGCAAGAGATTCTTTCGGCCTTTAGTTCTTTGCCATAAAGTCAGCTTTGCTTGAGTGTAAAGGTCCACCTTGCTGGTCGGTCTGCCAAGGGCTGGAGGGAGGCCAGACCCCTGGAATTGGCGAGTGGATGGAGAAGCAGTGGACTGGAGGGTAGACGAGGCTACTGGACCAAGCCAGCCATGGCTGGTGGAAGGACCAAGTCCCTGGTTAGGTTCTAGAGGTACAAATGGTCAATGTGCCCCAGAAGTATCGCAATGAGGAAAACTATCCGAGAATGATAGACGGGCGAGAATCTGGCCAGACCTGCTGTCTCCTTGCTGGTCATATGAGGAATGAAAGTAGGGGCGGAGAGTCTGAGTGAACGCCATGGTGGCAGTGGGAGGTGACCACAGGGGCACCCTGGAGCCTCTGGCGACCAGCTGGAAACTCTCCCCTAGAAGAGTGGCCGTAATTGAGCCGATTCACTAAGCCTACGATTAAAAAAGTCCTCTGATGGTGAGTGTGAGTACAAACCCCATGAGCACCTTGCTAGAGGACCAGTGGAGAGCGTACTGACCCCAGACACGCGAGGGCTCAGAGGCAACCCCAAGTGCTGTGCGAGGCCTCAGGACCCTGGGACCCGAATGTGGGAGTGGATGCCGCCCGCCCTTTTTCGTGGTGGGCAGTTTTCCATTTAAACTCACATTTGCCTTTAGTGTCTTCTAATGCCTTCTACTCGCAAAAAATGTTCACTTAAAAAAAGGTATTTTTCTTTCCAGTTTCTTTCAACTGTTTCGTTGTTTAAATATCTTTCGGTTTCTTTCAAGTATCTTTTTTCTCCTTCTATTTCTCCTGAACAAGATGAAAAAGACCTCGTTAAAATTCCAAAATTCAGGAAAAGCTTCTGCTCTCCCTGGTCACCCAGCAATGAAGACACAGTCCTCTGTGCCCTAAGATGGAAGAGGGAGGTGCTTGTGTGCAACGGGCAAGTTGCGTGGCTGCACCGCCACAGGCAACGAGAGCCCCTGGGGCGTGTCCTTCCTCCCCTAGCCACACCCCAGCTTCCAGCAGTCTTGGCCACTGCAGCTACCCCATTGCAAGCTGGCCACCGCGTGGCCAGAACAGCAGGCGAGGAAGAGCGTCAGATGGCAGGCTTTCCGCCAAGTGGCAGGTGGGAGGCCGACTTGGATGGAGCCTGTGTACGCGTGGACCAGCAAAGCAGTCCCATGCCACCAGCTGTGGAACCCGGAGGGGCTCAGTCCCACGCTGTGCATCTTGGTGACCTAGGCTTGAAGGTCACAAGGGCAGCACAGTGAGGGAGGCTGTGAGCACTTGGAAAGGCTGTACCTCCAGCAAGCTCACATTTACCCCGTCCCCTGGTCTACCACCTCTCCCAAGGGGGCCTGTCCCTGGAAGGGAGTGCCTGTACCTGTACCAGGTCCCTACCCCGCCACATCCCCTGCCTCTGCCTTAGATGGTGAGGAGGGGGATGCAGCCCACGCCAACCCCTCCCTCGTGACACGCCATGGGGGCCATAAATGTCCAGCGGTCCGTCTCCGGGTCATACATCTCCACCGAGCTCAGGTTTGACTGTCCATCATAGCCCCCGACAGCGTAGAGACGCCCACAGCTGGCCACCAGGGAGACCCGACTCCGGCGCGTGTGCATGGGGACGATCAGGCACCACTGGTCTGCCACGGAGCTGTACACCTCAGCGATACTGAGGAAGCCCGAGCCGTCGTAGCCCCCACAGACGAACATCTTGCTTCCCAGGGACGCGGCTCCATGCCGGCAACGCTTGTTGAGCATGCTGGCCGCTGGATGCCAGGTGGCTGTGTGGTGGTTGTAGTGTTCCACCTGCATTGGGGACAGAGGCACGGGGGTCAGAGCCGAAGCTCAGTCCGCAGGGCGACCTCACAGGGCACGGTGACCTGCATGGTGTCAGACTCCAGTCAGAGGCCAGTGTGTGCCCTGGCTCCCATGCCCTGCTTCCTTGGCTGCGCACCTGCTCTGGGGCTTATGGGACAGGAGAGACATCACTTAATCTGACCCCCTCTGTCTTACATCTGTCTTACATCTCAGGGAACAGAGGGGTTGCCCAAGGATACACTGCTATGTAGTGACAGAGCTGGGATGAGAGCAGGGTCTCCCGAAACCTGTCCAGAGTGCATTCCACCACAGCACTGAGCAACTCCATGGATCTACCACTAGATGGCGGTTGAGGGTTTTTTTGTTTGTTTGTTTGCTTTTTAAAGAATAAATGTTTATTTTAAAGAATAAACAAATCATCCAGAATACAACTGTTTGAAACTTCACACTGTGTGTAATTGCGCCTACTCTGGGCAGGGATTTTGCCAGGTCTCATGAAGCATTTGTGAACTGGACAGGGTGGGGGTGGGGCTGGCATGGCTATACTCTACCCCTCCTTTGTGTGCACTGGCTCCCATTCTCAGAAGAATTTCAGAGCACGTGGCAGATGGCCTGAAACCTCACTAGATGACGCTTTACCCAGCTATGGCAAGGCTGGAGTTTCTTCCAAAGAACTACCTTTCAAAATCATTCTCAAAGATGGAAGGAGTGGGTACCCTTAGCCCCGGGGGAGCCCAGACTCACACTGTTGAAGATCTGCAGACCGTCGTGGCCACCCGACACATATATCCTGCCCTCAAACACCGTCACCCCAGCAGCACTGCGACTTGAGCTCATCGGGGTCACCACCGTCCACCTTCAGGGAAGAGCCAGAGGAGGAGGGGGGGCCATGAGATTGGGCGTTGCTGTCCTCCCAGGACAGCTCAGAAGGGCTGGGGTGAAGCGTGGAGTGTTCCTTCTCACCCCGCACAATCTCCCCACCTCTGCAGGCACTCAAAATCAGCACGTCCCAAACAAGGCCCCTCTCCCTTACAGATCTGCTCCTCCCTTGCACTGCCCAGTCTTGTTAATGGGACCACCAGCCATTGAACCGCCATACTCAGATTCAGTGTTTTCATGGTCTTTTCTCCCTCATCATCAACATTCCCGTGGTCACCAAGTCCCAGCTGGTTTGCCTTGGTAGTCACCGCTCGTTCCCATCCCTGCTATCGCTGCCCTAGCTCGGGCCTCTCACCTGGTGGCCTGCCACAGCCTCCTTACAGGTGGCCTGGCTTTCAAATCCTCCCCATCCCAACCCTATGCAGCCCACCCCGGTAGTGGCTCCTTACTGTTTTCTCCATGGCAGAGTCCCAGTTCCCTATGCGGTTCTTTATCTCTTGGTCCGCATCTACTTCACTTTCATTTCCTGCCATATGCCATGCATGCTGGCTGCTCGGTCACACTGAGCACTCGCTGTCCTCTGGGCCTCTATTTTTGCTCCCTGCCTACAATGCGCATCTCCCACTATCCATAATGGGTCTCCTCTCAGAAGTCAACCCTGACACCCTGCCTCTCCCTGCCAGCCATGGTAAAGATGAAGGTGCTCCCCACCCTGCACCCAAGAGCTCCAAACAGACGCCCCCAGGGTAGGAGAATCACGATGCACCTGTGGCCCCTGCAGACCAGCTGCTAGGATCTCAGACACCCAGCCTGCTGCCCGATACATAGTAAGTTGGTTAAGTGAATGGAACATTGGCTGAAAAGCATTCTGATGAATCAACTAACTGGCTTATGAGAAGATTCAAATACTGAAATGAAAAATTTGGGCTAACCTTGCCAGTTGTTTTCCAAAGAGTATTCCATAAAGGAAGATGGTGACAGGCATTGTGTAAGATGAGATTGAACAGACTTCTTCACTGCAGAATTTTTCAGTCTTTAAAATGTTAACATGTTTTATGGAAAGACAGGAACTCTAGCGGTACAGACATCAATGTCTTCTAAGCTTATTTGACCATATAACTTTTTTTTTTTCTCTAAATCACATCCTACCTGAGTCATACCTATCCTACTTTGGAAAGTGTTGTGCATTTATTTCTTATCCCCTTTCACCTGCACTTCCATTAAATGGGCTGATTTAGGGGTGCCTGGGTGGCTCAGTCGGTTGAGTGGCCGACTTTGGCTCAGGTCATGATCTCATGGTTTGAGCCTCATGTCGGGCTCTGTGCTGATGGCTTGGAGCCTGGAGCCTGCTTCGGATTCTGTGTCTCCCTCTCTCTCTGTTCCTCCCCTGCTCGCACTCTGTCTCTCTCTCTCAAAAGTAAATAAAGATTTTAAAAAATGGGCTGATTTAACAAAGAGGTACAGATGATTAAATAAACATTTCCAGCTATCTATGCAGACTTATCTGTTTTAAAAATTTATTCAATCCACGGGTGCCTGGATGGATCAGTTGGTTGAGCATCTGACTCACGACTTTGGCTCAGGGCATGATCCCAGGGTCGTGGGATCAAGTCCCATGTCGGGCTTTCATGTTGAGTGGAGCCTGCTTGGGATTCTCTCTCTCTCCCTCTGCCTCTCTCTCAAGTCAAAAAAATTAAAAAACTAAATAAAATAAGCCTGGCTGGCTCAGTTGGTACAGCTTGCAACCCTTGACCTCAGGGTCATGAGTTCAAGCCCCATGTTGGGTGCAGAGCTTACTTAAAAAAATAAAATAAAATAAAATTTATTCAGTCCTTCATTCATTTAACCAAAAGTTACTAAATACTTATTATATGCAAGGTACTATATGGGCTGAAAAGGCGACTAGGATATTCTCTATCCTGCAGGTCTAATTCTTTATACTCTGTTTAACAAGTTTCAGTTGTCCCCGGGAGCTGGAGTCCTTACTTGTCTGTCTCGGGTGAGTAGGTCTCCACAGAGTTGAGAGAAGAGTTGCCATCGTAGCCCCCACAGACGTAGATCTGCCCATCCAGCACGACCGTCCCCATGGCACTGAAAAAGACAGAGCTGTCATCCAGATGGGCCTCTGACTTCCAGGGCCAGCCTTTCATGCTCCCTGGGGGATAAACCTAACCATCAACTGCCTCTTTCTAGAGCAGACCTAAATCCCACACGTGTGACTAAGTAAAGGTGTAAAATTGAGGGGGAAAGAAAGAAGCTGCCGTGTGGTACCCCCTGCCAGGGTTCGCTCTGGGGCCCGTTCTCAGTCCTTGATCTGTCTGAAATGCTCACCTTCCACCTTGCTGTGCTCAGGGTCTCATCACCTTTGAGGCCCAGGTCAAATTCCTCTTTCTCCTGCTCAAAAAGCCATCTTGGATCCTTCAGCAAGAGTCCGTCCCTCCCGCCCCTCGCTGCCAGGGACAGCTTCTTTATCACAGCTTGGTTGTGGTCACTCATTCACTCCTCAGATCCCATGAGGTACTCAGGAGGCTCGCATCCCAGGCACTAGATTCACAGTGCTGAGCAAGCCAAAGCTCCCACCCACAGGTGCTACATTCTGGCACCTGTCACCTCTCAACAAGTGGGGACCTCCTGGAAGACAGGGGTCTTCCTCTGTGTGACTCTGACAGTGCTTAGCATGGTGCTTTGTAGGTGATAGGCCTTCAACATGTTTGTTGCGTTAGCCTGATTTTATTTAATTCGCTGTAAAGTTCGACAGATGTCTTTTCATGACAGATGTGGCCCCGATGGCCCCTACTTTGTCTCAGTGGGTGACGCTAGTCTCCTGTTGTACACTTACGACATAGGGCAGGTACTCTAGGCTTGCTATCTCCCACCCTCACCACACCCTGCAAGGAGGTACCACCATCTTCACTGTACAGATGAGCAGCTGTGGCTGGGGAGGTCGGGTGCTTTTCCAGACTGCCCAGGGAGAGGCATGCTTCCTATCTAAATGCGACAAGCCCACTCCCCTGCTGTCTACCATGCCCCACTCTCCTCAGATTAAAGACCCAGTGGTCTGGCATAATCACATAATCTTCCATTCTACATAAAGCCTCATGAGAAACATGAGTGCCAAGCTGCCCGATTCACGGTTTTCAAATCTGATGTTGGAGAAGATTAAAAATGAATCTGGGTGGCTGACAAACAGGAAAATAAAATATACCCGGCTAACTGCCACCTTTCCAATGTAAAATCAAGCTGATTCCATGCAATGTCCCTTTGAGGGACTCGGTAACAGAACCCCCCCCCCCCC